AAAGAAGCAAACATGCAACTAGTGTGAAGTCTTTCTAGGTTGGTACCTACAAATTAAAATGTGCCGGCTGATCTGCAGCTCGTTGGTATTCACTGTAACGATCGGTAGCCTGTCACATCGCCTCGCTGTGAGCCAGCTGAAGCCTAGAACTGTATTTGGATTGCTCTGCTGTATTGATGCCAGTCTAGTAAAAATATCTTCTCTCTATCCGTAGGGCCGTTGTTATGTGGGGCCTGCTCTGATGTCTTGTTCCTGCTGTCAAATGTCCGATGCTGGGCGCTGGTTGGTACTTCTGGGCAGTCAATCGAGGATTTGGTATGTACTCATTCATATTAAATATTCTAACTTTTTGTAGCGAGTGAAGAGGGCTGTGAGAAATAAAGCCCATGTTTTGTGATGACGACAGTAAGATTGCATGAGGCGTAGATCACTGCCAGTGAATTTAATTATTTGTAATTAAAAGGGAATGAATTTCCACTATTGCTGGCTAAAACGTGTTCTGCGTTAGTAACCCTGAACAGTCTCTGAACTCAGAACTTGGTCTTTGCATACTGTCCTGGTTTTGGCTGGGATAGAGTTAATTTTCTTCCTAGCAGCAGGCATAGTGCTGTGTTTTGGATTTAGTAGGAGAAGAATGTTGATAACACGCTGATGTTTTTAGTTGTTGCTGAGTACTGCTTATGCTAGTCAAGGACTTTTTCAGCTTCCCATGCTCTGCCAGGCGCACAAGAAACTGGGAGGGGGCACAGCCAGAAGAGTTGATCCAAACTGACCAAAGGGCTATTCCATACCATATGACGTCATGCTCAGTATATAAACTGGGGGGGGTGGCCGGGGAGCAGCGATCGCTGCTCGGGAACTGTCTGGGTATCGGTCGGCGGGTGGTGAGCAATTGCATTGTGCATCACTTGCTTCGTGTATCATTATTATTATTATCATTATTATACTGTTACTATTAGCATTACTATTTTACTTTATTTCAATTATTAAACTGTTCTTATCTCAACCCAGGAGTGTTTCTCACTCTTACTCCTCCGATTCTCTCCCCCATCCCATCGGGGCAGGGGGAGTGAGCGAGCGGCTGCGTGGTGCTGAGTTGCTGGCTGGGGCTAAACCACGACACATACAAGCAGAACTGATTCGTGTATGCGACGTTTGACGTGAGGTGCCAGATTCGATCGCATGAGGAGCGATGAAATGCAAGTGCGTTTAGAAGGAACAGCTCTAACACGCAGTAAGCCTGCTTGCAGCCTTGTGTGGTTTGGGATAGTCTAGGCCAAATTTGGCTGCCATCTTCACTTTTAAGAAGTGAGATCTGTGTCCAGCTTCCTTGTGATAGGTATGCTCTGAGCAACTCCCTTCTAGAAAAAAGTGCCCTCAAAGCACCTGCTACACCTACAGTAGTCGGTATTTACATAAGGGAATAGTTGGGGAAATTATCCACGAGGCGTTTTGATTTCTCATAAGAAGCCTGAGACTTTATATGGACAAAGCATTCCCTTATCTGCTTCTGTCCTAGGGCAAGAGCTGGGGTTTACTGCCTTTGATGCAAAATGTGTGATTTCCTTTATTTTTTACGTGCAAGATGAGAGTATAACTTGTGCAAAAATCATGAACCTGTGTTTGAAGAAATAAAAAAAAATAGACATACTCAATTCTCTGTCTGCTTTGGGAAGGTGAGGAGAGTGAGGTAGCATTTTTAAATTTCTGTAATGAATAGAACTAAAAGTACAAATGCATGTTTCAAGAGTTAAAGCATATGAAAAATGGTAAGCATCATACACTGATGCTTCAGAATCCCTGTGTATACTGTGTTAAAGGTGAAATGCTTTGAACTGCAACGTAACCATGATGAACTGGGATCAATGGGGATCCCAATGATCAGTGAATAGGCATTAATAATCAATATCCAATATAAAATAGAAAGAATGTGATGTAGTTGTGGAGCCTCAGTATGTTGTGTGTGGTTTATAAGGCTCCAACATGCCCTTGAGCTCCACAGTAAATAGTCAGATTTCTTACTGATTGAACCAAATTTACAGAAGGTCATGATCCAAATTTAATCAGACTTGCCTTTTTTTTTAACTTTTCCCGTATGCCTTTGCTCCTTGTACCTTTGTGTTACTGTAGTTGTAAAACACAGTCTGCTGAACGCTAATACAATCAGGTCAGTAGGCCTTGACAAATTTATGTTTCTGTTCCTTTGCACAAAAGAGAATGTCAAGAGACAGCTCAGCATGGCTATGTTAGTGTTTGTATACATTTGTGGTTTTAATAAACTTACTGGAAAAATCAGTCTTTACCTATTTGTATTAAAACTTGTTTTCAGAGTTCAGTATATTTTCTAAACAAAAGATGTCTGCCTTAATAATTTGTCTTGCTATTTTCAAAGAAAGAGGCAGTTAATTTAATAACACTGACTCTCATCTCACAGAATCACAGAATGCTTTGGGTTGGAAGGGACCTTTAGAGGTCACCTAGCCCAACCCCCCTGCAGTGAGCAGGGACAGCTTTAACTGGATCAGGTTGCTCAGAGCCCCGTCCAACCTGACCTTGAATGTTTCCAGGGACAGGGCATCTACCACCTCTCTGGGCAACCTGTTCCAGTGTTTCACCACCCTCATTGTAAAAGTCTAAATCTATTCTTCTTTAGTTTAAATCCATTATTCCTTGTCCTGTCACAACAGGCCTTGCTAAAAAGATTCTCCCCATCCTTCCTATAGGTCCCCTTTAAGTACTGGAAGGCCGCAATAAGGTCTCCTCGCAGCCTTCTCTTCTCCAGGCTGAACAACCCCAACTCTCTCAGCCTGGCCTCGTAGGAGAGGTGCTCCAGCCCTCAGATCATTTTGGTGGCCCTCCTCTGGACCCACTCCAGCAGGTCCATGTCCTTCTTGTGCTGAGGGCCCCAGAGCTGGACGCAGTGCTCCAGGTGAGGTCTCACCAGAGCAGAGTAGAGGGGCAGAATTGCCTCCCTTGACCTGCTGGCCACATCTCTTCCAAATCCTCTTCGCTGAGAGACCTTCTTTCCTGTTAGATTTTCTTCCTGATTTTGATTTGCTTTTTTGGTTCACTGAGGTTCTACAGACATCTCTTGGAGTAAGGTAATCTAGATCAGTGACACGGGAAAGAACATCTTCTTTCAAACACTGTATCCATTTATCAGGGTGAGTTTAGGCCAGGAAACATTCAATGTTAATACACTTTTATCTCCATAAACAACTCTTCAGGAAACAAGACAACAGAAAAGGAGCCCATCTTATGCAGCCACTTAGATACTTCTGTAATTACAAAAGACTGTCCACAAACATGTTATGCATTTTTTTCTTTTCGTGTGAGTGCCTGGAAGCGTGATTAGTTTATTACCACCTAAAGAGAAGCTTAGTCTCTCAAAGATCTTGCTACAAAATTTTCTTATATGAATCCAAAAGATAATGAGCATATGCCATTAATGGATTGTGCAAAGGATGCAAATGTGTATCCAGAAGGAGATAAGAGAATTTTAATTCCTTAATTACTTGCAATTAAGGCATTCTTCATGACTTGCAATTGCCTGTGGGCTTCAGGTGGTTGAAGAAAAAGGGGCTAATTCTTGTATAATTCTAAACAGCTGTTCAAGAAAGGTACTTGTTTATATCCATATCTCAAATTATACCTATGTGATGTCCATATCTCAAATTATACGTATGTTATGTACTTGCATAAATTGCTACAGAAATTTAAAGATCAAGGCATCCAACAGACATTTTTAAGTTATTTGAAATGTGTCTGAAGTCATAAGCCTAAGCAGAGTTAGATGACAGAGCCCCAAAAGGAAAAAGAATTCTCTTTATTGTAGAACAGCTTAAATGATGAAAACTACTGGTTAAAAGTGTGTTTGGGGGCCAGGAGGCGTTACAGTGCTGCAATAGACTGCACTGGCAACAAGTTGCTAGTGAGGGTACAGCTCTCCTGAATCAAAACAAGCTGCAAGAATGTCATTTTACTTGTATAAATGCAGTTCTGCTAGTGACTTTTGCCACCGTGACTGGCATTGCACCTTTACACACCCTGAGGCATGAGGCTAAATCATGCTGCTCTTTTGCTTGATGTTCACAACATCACAGGTACATAACCAGCAGCAGGCTAGGACTCAGAGGTAACTTTACCAGCATGCAAAACTCCTAAAGAATCTCAACAATGAAGGACTTAAATCAAGTAAAGAACAAGAACAGCCTAAAAGAAAAGGCCACTGGGATCCCTACCGGTTTGTTAATCGTTGAGATTTGCCTGATAGCTGAGGCAGGCAATAATGGTGTTTGAAGCTGAATTTGTAGCCAGAGCAGTGTGTGCTGTTTAAATGATCTTTCTCTCCCCAGCTGCAGAGGGCAGACTGAGCACTATGTGCGATTCCAAAAGGAGCTGGAGCTAATGGAATCCACAACTACATCTTGTGGCTGAAGGAGCATCTTCTCCAAAGATGCCAAACAACAGGCATCTTGTGTTCCCTGGCCACATGCCCACTTTGGGCTGATGAAAACTTTGCTCTCAAGTAGAAGGATAAAGATTTCATTCCTTGTGCGGTAATTATATACAATATAGAATTGTATGTATTAATTACCTAAAAACTGAATATAAAATAAATCCAGAACCAAAGGCATAGTTTGATGGACCAGGACAGAAATTTTGGATCTAAAAATCAGACTGATTTTACACTAATACAGAATCTTTTCTCTGACTGTGAACACAAAGATGATACCAATTAATTCCAGACTATTTATAACATAAGAGTGACTACAGAATTGCCTCTACTGGATTTATTGAACAATAACTGTTTACCCAATTTTGGAATTTCACAACACTTAATCAAATTATGTGGACTGCTACCATGTGTGCTAGTTCTAATTTAGTGACATTTTTAAATTATTCACAGTAATGAAAAAAAGTAACTGGTGCTGGTAAACATTCCAGCCACGCAAGAACTCACATCTTCTTAACACAGCTGCACAGGTAGCAACTTCTCTAAATGAAACGCCATATATTTAAAATGTTTTACTTTATTAACAATAAATTAATCTGTGGCATCACTGATCAACAAAACGCTAAAGATACAGTGTGCAGATTGTCTACATGCTGATCAGAAAGGCAACATCATCGCTACCTTCATAAAAATTGGAGAAATGCTAATGAACTTATATACATATATAATTTTCAAGCATATGAACAACACTGAGCAGAAGAAATGTACTTCCAAGTTTCCCCAATTTTTCTATTAAATAAGGCAACAATAAAAAGCATAGTGTCACAGCAACCTACTTAAAACTCTAGATACTGAGTCCTGATACAATGCAGTGCTCAAAGAGGAATGTGCAAAAATAAACACCTGGATTTGCACTTGATTCTTCATTTTGTAAAATAAAAAAAAAAAAAAAAAAAAAAATCAATCAGCAAACCAACAACTGTTCCAGATTCCACTGTCAGGAAAAAACAAAAGAAAAGCTTCTGGGAGAATCCAAATTGACAAAGCTGTTCTTTCAGCCCGTGGCATTATTTGGAATATCTTGAGCATCTGCTAAATGTAGTTTTTGGCTGAAGGAAACCATTAAGGAATAACATTTTCAGGTATAGATAAGGTATTGCAACAAGATAGCAGTGTTACACGAAACTGCGCTTAGTCCTGTGACGGGTATGTTCCAGTCCAGATGAATTCAGTTCTATTAAGTCCTATGCTAGTTCTCAGCCAGTAGATTAATCTTCCTCTGTGAGAAGACTTAAGGCATTACATACCTCCAGAATTAGCTGGCGGATCAAGGGGGATGGCAGATTATTTTTATCACTATTATGTGATATGATCATCACATTCCACTTGTGTTCTTTAAGACCTAGCCTTAAACAGCTTTCCACAGACACAGAGAATATATATACCAGCGCAGTATCTTAAGTCCCAAACCAGAGTCCCACCTTCCTCAGCGCATACAAAGTATGTAACACCAGAAATAACTAGACTGCAGTATAAACTGAATGCAGCGCTCCTCAACTGTGTTCTTTAGCCTATCAAAAGCATGATGTAAAAGACAAGCTAAGACATTCAGCTCTATCTTCTTCTGGGTCAGCTAAGAGTGCACGTTTGTTCAGTTACCAAAGCTCTGCTGAAGTATTGGACTCAGCCACAGTCTGATCCTAGAAATAAAACATTAGGTCGCAGTATTCACTATTCACAGTAAAATCAGTGATAAACAGCTGCATATATTTCTAGAGAAAACTAAAAGGTAACAGGATTCACTTATCAATGGGACAGAAGACTTCTGAATACTGCAGAAGGAATATTATTATCTATGTTTGTTCCAGAATGTCTTGGCAGGAAGCATGTAGAAAGACCCTGCTTCTGACAGGCTTTGCCATCTCATCTACTGTCAACACGTTGTCTAAAGTGGTACACACTAGCTAAATAAATCATCATATGAAAAACCAGCTTGTAATTAAAAGTGTTACGATCCAGTCATTTATGTATTGGAAGAACCTAAAATCTATGCTGTATTACAGTACTAATTTAAAAGAAAGGATGTTATTGAAGCAATTTGACCCCTGTAAAGACATCAGTTACTGGGGAAATGCACTGTAATTTTATTACAGTTAACAATAATTATAATGCAAAATAGACATTTAAGGAAAAGGATACATAGACGAATTCAGTTCTTCTAGCTGCAATATAAATGTAGAAAGTATCAGAAATGGCATTTCAGTTAGATAAATGCAACAATTATGCTGATATGATGAAATAAATATATTAAAACAATGAAGGAAATCACTAATAGTTTTGGCTGAAATGTATGATTTTATTACAAAAAGCAAAAACAAACCTGCACTGAATTCTACACCAACAGAGGTAAGTCCCAAATGAAGTTTAAATCCGCCGATCTCAGGAAATTTAAAGAAATTTTAAGTTTTGGGTTTTGTGAAAATACACTAGAGAAGGGAGAAACTGAAAATGTAGAATACACAGATCTAAATTCCTTGTTATGTGTGGTCTTCCCCAGATGTAGGAGGGCAGACCACAGGGAAAATGGTCGTAGTTCCCTGGTATGTTGGCTGTCTCTAAACAGGCCTACATCCTCAGACAGTTTACAGCTAAACTGCTCCACTTGCCAAAACAAGCAGCAGCCTATAAAAAGAGAAGACAAGGTACTGTGTTTTCTCAAAACCAAGATGAGGGTAGGGCTCATGTCTTGGTTCGTTACAGAACTATGTTCCCCTCAACTGTAAATCACTGCCCACCCAGTAGTGTTGTTTTCCTGAGCCGAGTTCTGTGGGCAAAGTTCCGTGTGCCCTGCCTTCCCAGTACTTACATCCGATAGCAGCCTATCCAGATTGGAGTCACTGGCTAGTTTTCTTTTATCTTCAGGGAGTTCTTCCAGCTCACCGTACAGCTCCAGATTGAGGCGAGCAAGTTTTTCCTGCATACTCCGCACATGCTCCATCTGCTCTATGGAACATTCATTTCCTAAAAGGTCGAGCAACAGCTTTAGATAAAGAAACCTGAGAGAGCAAATGAAGGTGTGAAGATGCAGCTTTTTACATCAGAGATGAGGAATTTAAACATCAAATTTACAAGTTAATTTGCTTTCTCAATTATTTCTCCCTGTTTCACCACTGAAGTTTCTGTCATCCTGTCTGGTGTTATGTTGTGCTGAACTTAACAACTACCTAATGTACTCGCTGGTTTTTAGAATATACCTGTTTTTTCTATACTCCTGAATTTCTCTCCGATTTAGCAAGGCCCTGTTTTTTAAATATAGCCACAATAAACCTTCTTTCTAATTGTCATTAATCTTGGCGGTTTCTTTCTTGCAACTGATGCTTTATATAATACAGACCTTTCAGGTTCTCTTGTAAAATTGGTGTGGAATTAATGTGATGTGCTGACCTAACACTAAACTTGCAAAAGCACATATGCATCTTTCTACTCAGTACAGGGCACAAAAGGAAGCAGAAGTGTCATGGTTTTCCTGAAACCTCAGTCAACTGTGAAGTAGTAAGAAGAGTAAGATGCTAAGACAGAAGAGTAAGCTGGGTAAAATGCAACTTGCGTTGGATTCCATTGTTACCAATAGTCTAAAGTGTTAATATGCAGCAAAACCAGGCACTAGATACAGTTACTTCTTATTATTCCTATACTATTATAAGTAAGTGGCTTTAAACTTGGTATCTTAAATCCATAAGCTAAGGCACTGCCTTTGGTAAGCCATGCTGGAAGGAACAATGAAATGGCATTTGAATAATCTCACACCAAAGACAACCTTACAGTAGGACTGTAATTGTAAAATGCAGTAAGATCTATTAAGTATGTTAAACTTCATTTCATATGGCAGAGTCCAATATGACAAACTGGCAGTCTGTCCATACAGCACACTTGTTTGCAAATGTTAACATCATATAGCTATTGTTTTTAGCTACAATAGTGGTTTTCTATTGCATACAGACAATTCATGCACTTACCAAATGCTTGAAGTTTGCCAGAGTGGAAGTCATTCAGGAGACTCAGAAGTCCCCTTTCCATTTCCTGGACATCCGATACATCTGTGAGAAAAGAATGCTGGATCGGTGCTGCCTGTGCCCCTTTTCCTTCCCCTCCTGGAGGTTTGGCTTTCTCTTTTATTACGCTGAAAAAAATAAATAATTAAACAAAACAAAAAGATTACTTCCTCCTTTCACTGAGAATCTCTAATGTAGGATATGTGTACGTTTGGGCTTTGAAAATGAAATGGAAAACATATTTCAAACATTCTTTTTAAGTTAAAAAATGGATCACCAGTTTGTCTTGAGAATAAAGAATAATGTCACTATCTTGACAGTCTGATAGTGCAAAATGAAGGATTCCAACAATCTTCTTTCCTATTAACGGTGGGAAACATCGATGGAGCAGATGTATGTAATGGTCATCTTAATGATCTAAAGACGACCATTACTCAACAAAGACACATGGTGCGTGGGGCATTATCTACATAAAATCACCCAAACAGCATCTGCAAACTCTCTTTAAGCCAGAGAGAAAAACCCTCAGCAATCACATGCTCCTGTTGTTACAAACACCTCTAGACTGCAACCAGTGTGGAAAACAACTTGTTATAGCCTATACAGGAAGGTGACCTTGCCTCCAGATAAATTTTCCTAGAGCTCCTTCTTCCCACCTCCAAATAACATCCCAGTTTTGTAAAATTCACCATCAAAAGCAATCTCCCAGTCCTCTAACACATACCAAATGGAACAAATATTAAACGTGCTAAAAATTCTCTACAGCCCCCTCTGCAACAAAAGCATCAAAATTCCTGGATCCATACATTTTTCTCTAGACATAAAATTTATTCAGAGCACCATGTGCCCATAGAAACTACACAAATGAAAATGAATAACCATTATAAATCCAAATGAACATGCAATCAATATGGAAGCTAAACACTCGGTTACCAGTGAGAAGTAGCATATTCCATCTCTGGCCCAGAGACAGCCAGACTGCACCCTAACCTAATACAATTCAGGTAAGGGGCTGCTTTCATCCCTGATTTGCCCACCCATTTGTGCACACAGCTTTCCTCTCACATTGGTGTGGCTGCTTCTGCAACCTCATGGTGAGTGTGTTCAGAATCTGATTCAGTGAAAAATTTTGAGCCTAAAAATTAAAATTCAGAATACTATCGGATATTAAAAACTCACAGGCTTAGTAAAGAGGCTTTAATTATTTACTTTATTTAATTAGTGAAGATAGTAGGGTTTACAGCATAATGAGCTCCACCCTTCCCTTGAACACTCCCATGCTCTGCAAGTCATAAATCCTCTCTTTCATATGGGAAACAATAATTCTTTTTCCAGCCTAACAGCTTCTGTTGTCTATAAACATTATATAGACTACATAGCTTATATACTGGAACAACTAACAGTCCAATAATTATCATATCCGGTTCAACTGAGAGCAACATGTCTCAATTTAGGTTTAACTTTGGCTATTTCTGCTTCAATTTCAAACTTAAAGAAAGGTTTCTATGTCAGCAAGGTCATCGAGTTTTTCCACCTGTATCTGAAGTTTAATACAATATATTACTGGTCCTGGAAAACTTATTTCATTAGATTCTTGTAGATGAAGTGAAAATGAATTAAATACTCCTACTCCACTATCGTAACAGCAGTTCATCCTCGCATTGTTATGTCAATTACCACTCCTGCTTGGAGAGTTCAAGAAAATGTCTGCATTATCACTGCTTAGTAAACTTCACTTAACAATTGAGCAAGAATGTCCTTTTCCAAAACTTAAAGCAAAAAAGGACATTTTCTTCTCTAGCCAATATTGTGGGCTACAAGAAATGAACTTCTAGTACATTCCAGAATAGTATTGAGTCTTAATAAACTGTACGGTCAGCTGCAGGCACCACTTTATAGCACATTAGTATTTATTATTATTTCCTTCAAAGTATTAACACATTTTCCCTGGGGAAAAAAAAAAGCAGACTTTACATTGCAGAAATACATTACGTTTCCATCAGGCCAATACTGGGTCCTTTAAACAGGCTATCTCTGCCAAAGAGGACAATTCAGTATTTAATCTTCAGCTAATACTTATAGATCAATAAACACTGCCTCTCTTCAGCTAACATTTCACTTTAAAATCCCTCTTCACTCATTTATCTACTGTATCTGCCACAGCCAAGAACTATATTTTCTAACATGCAGGAAGATTAACATTCTCAAACTGAAATAGATGCATCATCGATAACACACAAACTATTCCAAAAATGGCACTTTCTGAAGAGCTGAATGCCTCTCTCTGCGCATGAGTATGGCCTGGGAGCTACCGCTGCCCCCACTGATGGGTCCCCAAACAAAAAACACGGAAATTCCAGTTCTAGCTCATCCTGTTCAATTTACGTCCTTCATTTCCTGCCCTACTTGTGAGTTCCAACCTTGCAGTCATGGAATATTTTATTTGTTCCTCACAGCTGTACATCTGGGGCTCTGCTATCTCCCATACGATGCCCACATTTGCCAATTTGGTCACCCAATTCTTATCTTTCACCAGCCACATCAGGCTATCATCTCTTCAGCTAAATTGTTACCAGTGTGAGTCTACAGCATTACGTAACATTTTAGGTTTTTGCTTTAGTATCACGCACTTTCTTTTTCTGTAAAATAACCATTATATTGCATTAAGCACAAATCACTTCGCTAGAAACAGACACTTCAGCAAAAATTTTCACGAGTCTGAAGCTCGCTCTTTTCATTCTGTCCCAGCCAGTCTAAACACCCTTTAGGCTGGCTGAGCACAGCCAGGTTTCTGGCTCTCACTTCCAGTGAGCTTGCAAGGTGCTCCCAAGCTTACCGTTTTAACTTTGGTTTTTGTACTGCAGGCTGTGGTGCAGGATTTGAAAAGGCTGTACTTTTACTGACTGGCACTGAGTTTTTCTTGGAGTTAGTAACGTGAGCAGGGTGACCGGTAGATGATTTGGGGCTCCTCCTCTTGATTTTCCTTTCTTCCATTTCTTCCCATTTACTGCATCTAGACTAATTTCTTGTCCTCCAAAGGGAAGGGGAAAAAAAAAGTAAGAAACATTCATTAAAACTGGCATTTACAATAAAAGGAAGGGAAAAACCAGGTCTTTATAGTTTTTTCAAAGATGAGCTGTTACTCATTATTTCAAACAAGAGCATTCAGTTTTCAGGAGAAGCTGCCCAGGCCTGCCTGATCAGCTACACAAGCAGGAATTAAAATCTTTCGTGTCAGCTTCAGCCAACAAGTGCCTCAAAATGATCTCACGCTTTGCATCCCGTGGACAGTGGCTGGAAAACACCGGGACTATTCAAGTCCACGCCAATCACAATACTGAGAAACGATGGTGGCATGAGGATGCTGTGATTCATCCTTGCCAAGCAACCTCCCCTAAAGGGAGAGAGAGGCCTTGTCAAAACTCTGCTGATGCCGAGTTATCACTGCTATTATATATGCTATTGATGCGTGCTGCCCGATAATATATAAATGCTGTTATTATATATGCTATTATTGGGTGCTACCTAATAGTGTCCTCGCCTGGGGAAACGCCTCCTCTGAAACCCGCCGTCCCACGGAGGCGGCGGAGGGTACCGTAGGCACG